TGTTGGACAAAGGTTAGAGAGGGACCTTCGATAGGTCCGGACATGGTTAGGGACACCTACGAGAAGGTGACCATTATTCAACGGCGTATTCTTACAGCTCAAAGTCAATAGAAGAGCTATGTCAACCAACGGCAGTGACCTCTCGAGTTTGAGGTGAGGGATCACGTCTTTTTGAAGGTTATGCCTAAAAGGGGGGGGGGGATGGTCCAGTTTGGTAATAGGGGCAAGTTGTCACCAAGGTATATTGGGCATTTCGAGGTACTTGAGAGAGTCAGGGCAGCTGTTTATCGGCTGACATTACCGCCACATCTATCAAGTGTTCACAAGGTATTCCATGTATTTATGCTTTGTGATAGATGCGGATGAAACCTTCCAAGAAGGACCGGTCCGTATTCTGGATAGCTGAGAATAGATTTTGTGAGGCAAGACTGTGAGGCTGGTTAAAGTGCTATGACAGCACATGGGTGTCAAGAAGGCTACATGGGAGCCTAAGGACACTATACAGTCTACCTATCCATTTCTATTTGAAGATGGAGGTATAATTTAAATTTTATGTTAGTTACATACAATGTGACTCATGTGCATTTATACGATGTGTTGCATGTGTGCTTAATTTCGATGACGAGTTTTTCTTAAGGGGGAAGAATGTAAACCCAAAAAATTTAATATATCAATTAAGTGGGTAATACAATAATTAAGCTATTTAAGCAAGTTTAAAAATCTGAAATTTTATATAATTCGGATGAAGAAACGGACCTCTCTGTTGGACTTGTCTTGCAAAAATGAGTTGGGCATGCAAATTTTGTTAAATTTTGAGACAATTAGAATTTTCATGTATTACGAGGCAAAATATGCGATCGAGCGTTACGCGATTAAAAATTCTAGTAACTTAGATTTATTCATAGGACCCACAATATAAATGAAATAGCTAATCAAAGATGTCTTATCCACACTTAACACTTGTCAAAGTGCAATAGTTTTGGAAGATTTTCAACCAATCAAAGGGGGACCCTGGACACATTACACACCTAGTATATAAAGGGCCAAAAAGTGGAAGACAAGTATTCCACTCTCCCATTCTCTTGCAAATTGAGAGAGAGAGAGAGAGAGAAAAAACTCTCAACCCTTCAACTCTTCTTCTTCTTTTTCTCCAAATATCTCAGGATCCAACCATTTGATTTTCATCAACTAAGAATTAAAGTTGCTCTACATGATGAGGGCTACCTATCAACACCAAGATCAACCATTTTTTTTTACCAACTTTCGGGTCAAGGGTTTGGGCTAGAGCTTGTAGAAGGCTTGGTTGGGCTTTTCAAGGGACTTCTTCACCACCACTTGCTTCTAAAAGGTATGCGTTCCCTTTTATTTAGTGCTAAATTCCAATTTAGTGGGTATATATGATATAGGAATAATCTACATGTATGTTAATTGATGCATATCACATGTTTGATAAAATGTTTAAATGGATAATATATGCGTTCTTGCTTTATTTGACATTGTAAGTTCATTTAAATTGCAATTGGGCATACATGGTATATGCACGGGTTTAGCTTAACATCCATGATGCATTGGTATGGTAACGTGTGTTTGTGCATGAGGTTGATCACTTACCACATAGGTGAGTAAGTGGGGCTTAGGAATTAGACTAATGTCAGATTAAGTCTCACGGGAATATGCATGATAATGTGTCGAAGTTTAGCAAGACGGGATAGATTCTCCCTAGGGTGCAAGACCTAATTTTGTCGGTCACACACTAGCCGGTGGTGTAATGAGCCCATAAAAGTATGTTGATGTACGCAAAACCGGGGGTGGGATGTCCTCAAAATCCATATTGGTTTGGTAATCCGTTCGTAGAAGTCCATAAATTACCTACCCCATAAAGACAAGATATTAAATGAAAGGCCATTAGGTGAGCATTAGCTCAATAGTGTAGGCGTGGAGTGCCCAGTTCATGAGCATGACATCACATATGCTATAGAAACCCGGGGGTGGGTTCGGAATTGATTTTGCATGCATGAAACATCACTTCATGTTATGACATCGTTGGTAGCATTTATTTATGTCACATGTTACATATATGAATGCTTGAATTGTACAAATGTGTATTACCATCATATGCACCATTTGGGTTGGGAGGTGTATTTCTTAGAAAATACCCTACTAGACTTTGGCTCACCCAGTTGTGGAAAAATATTTTCAAGTACATTGCATGCTTCCGCGGATGGCCAGCACCTGAGCCCATCTTGACATTGGAGAAGGAGTCCGATCTTTTATTTTGATATATAGATACTTAGCCTCAATTGTAATTAAATAGATAGCCTTGTACTTTTGGTTATACAACATATATATATTCTTTTGTAAAGATATATAAACTGGGGAAACATTTTATCTATTCTTTTGATAAATTATTTGTACCTTTGAAGTTGTTTAAATGTTTACATTAGATCTTGAGAGGTCATTGTAAATGTACTTTAGACAAGTTGTGTTTTGGGTGGAGTTCTCCATACAATGGAGACTCTGCCAAAATTTCGTTGTAATTGATCCACTGGGACCAAGGTCTTAAGTAAATTAATAATGCTTAACGAGTAATAAGGGCCCCTTGGGGCGTCACACTAAGCACTCACAAACATAATTTTGTAATTTATAAAATTTGAACATGCAATTTCTTCAACAGTCAACAACAAATCAAATAACAAAATAGATTACAAACAACAATATATACCTGTATATTCTTATATTCTGTTAAAAAATGAGAAATAAAACTGCTTCTCGACAATGACTGGATTGATAAGATATTATTTAGATGCTATAATCACAAGGTATGATACTCTCTCTTCTCAAATTTCAAATGATTTTCCATTAATCACATTTGAATATATCTATCTCACTGAAACAGATCCAAAAATAATGGCAACTAAAATTGTTTAGGGATGAAATAATTTAAGGGTAATTAAATAATAAAAAATATTTAAAATTACAATCCATAACGGAAAGTTTAGGTGTGCGTATACTTAATGGAGGAAAAATCTGAGTTGTGTATTAAAGCCAAATAAATCTGAGTTGTGTATTAAATTTGAGTTTTTTAAACTTATTTGAGGAAAGATATATGGATAAGTTATTTACTATATTAAGTTCAATTTTAATAAAATATATTGTGTTTAGGTACAAAATTCAAATGAAATCAAAACTATTTTACCTAAATACCCTCCCTTAAATTATAAATTCTTGATTGACAGTTATACATCTAATCACTATCTCTCCCCTATTTTCTCTCCCTTTCTCTCTTGCCCCATTACTTTCCCCATCTCTCCTCTATTTTTTCTCTATATCTATCTTTTATAATTTATTTTCTTTTCAAATATATAAAGATTTAATTTATTTTTTCATCTCTCTCCCCTATTTTTTTTCTCTCTCCCCCTATTTTCTGTAACAATTTCTCTATCTCTCTCTCTCTCTCTTTCCCTATTTTCTCTCTCTATTTATATAGACATTACAAGAACACAATTACACTAATCAGTTATATAATCAATTGTAATTGTCTTATAATACACAAAATAGATATTCATGCATTCTAATAAACCAAACAGTTACACAAAACAATTACACAAATTTATAACACCAACCCAATTTGTCATTTAGTTGTTTACATAAACTAAATAATTGCACTATTTAGTATCGCGATATCGTTACATTAATCATATATACCAAATTTAATATTATAGGAAAGTCTTTTGTGTAATGATAAACCCAATTTAGTATATATAATTGGTGTAACCATGTTGTGATATTAAATGGTGTAATTTTTTGATTTATGTAAATAATAAAATGACAAATTTAGTTGGTGTTATAATTTCGTATAATTGTTTAGTGTAATTATTTGTTTTTATTGGAACACATGAGTAACTGTTTAGTATATTATGGAGTAATTGTAACTAATTGGTGCAACTGATTAGTATAACTATGTTGTGTACCGTTGATATAAGGAGAGAGAAAAAAGAAATAAGGGGAGAGGGAGTGAGAGAGAGAAAAAAATAGGGGGAGAGAAATAAAAACATTAAATTAAATCTTTAGGACCTGTTTGGTTAGTAAGAAAGAGATGATGAAAAATGAAAGAGATAGAAAGTGAAGTGAAAGAAAATATATTTTCATGCATGCATTTGGTTAGTATGAAAAACTTCTAAGAAAATTTTAAAATAATTTCATTCCATTGTTTGAAAGAAAGGAAAATTACATTTTTTTTTCTAATTGTCTAAATTATTCTTAATTATTTTAACTCGGTCTAAAGAAGAAAAAATATTTTTTACTATTCAAATTTTTAAAAAATTGGCTCCTAATCTAAATAGAGACAAGAATCAATTTGAACCCTGATATCTAAACCAAATTATATGGTTAATCTAATTTGTACAATTTTTTTTAAAATTAATAACTAATTGAATATTTTTTTAAAAAAATAAGGGTAAAATGTGAAGTTAGGTCATTAAACACAACTTTCTTGTTTTTTCTTGTATTTTTTGTAAGAAAAAAAAGTTAGTTAAATGTGAGAAAATCTAAGTACAGAAAAAAAATATTTTTTCTATCATTTTCTATTTCATGTTAACCAAACGGACCCTTAGATATTCCAAAAAAATTATCAATATGAGAGAAAGAGAGAAAGATAAATAAATAAAGAGAAAATTGGAAAGAGAAAGTGAAAGAGTAATAGAGAGAGAATGGGATAGAGTAATGGAGTAATAAATAACCTTTAAGTCTGTTTTTCAAAAAAATATACTTAGAGTCAAATAAGTTTTGTTAATTTAGTTTAGTTTAAATAAATCTAAATTTTTGTAGTGACTTCTAAGTTACTCAAAAACTAATCACATAAGTTAATTGTCAAGCCCAACTTTTAAAAATGGGCTTTGAGAACTGGAGTTCGCTTTGGCCCAGCTAACAATTTTGGGCTCGAAAATTCGACCTTAACAAAACCCTAACCCTAGTGCGGCCGTTGCTATAAAATCCAAAAGCCGAATACCAAATCCTAATCGTAGCAGCTTCAGTCCTCTCGTTCTTCTCTCTCGTCCTCCATCGAGCATCAACCATGGTAATCTCTCTCTCTCTCTCTCTCTAATATTATTGTAATTTGATTGCTGAGCAGATATATGAAAACAAATAAAAGATAAATCCAACGGCGTTTAATTTCCAAACCATTAACAGAATTTCATGGGTTTCCAATTTCTGTTCTAAATTTTAGTATGAGTTGGGATTTTTATGCGGTGATTTTGATATGGGCTTTTTTTTGTAGTTGTGGATAATGTGTTTCCAGATTTGGGGAGTGGGGTAGGGGGTTGCGATCTGCGGTGATGGTGGTCAGTTCTTGTGCTGATAGGTGTAATTGAGATCGAGGTGGTCGCATGGTGGGTGGTTCAAATTTGGGTGTCAATTCTAATCATGGTTCGTTGATGTTAGGAGGGACTGAGCTGATGGTAGTGGTGCCAGTGGTAGTGGGGTTCCATCTGTTCCAGATATTAGGGAGTAGGAGTAGGAAAAAGGAGGAAAAAAACAAGAACTAGGTTTAATCCAATTTGGTCGTAGGCATATTATAACCGGCATGAAAGTATCCTTGTTTGGAATTAGGACTGTGAAATAAATATGTTCCCTTCTTCATATTTCCTGTGGATGGTAGCCCATGTCCATTTTAGCAGCCATGATTTCTTGATGAACTTGTTAATATGTTGAGATATGATAAAGTTTATATTCCTGATCCTTGTGTCATGTTATGCATGCCCTTCGTGGAGAGATTTCTGGCACAGCAGTGTACTATACCTTAGTAACTAATGGGTCTTGCACATAGTCAACTGTGTGTGTGTGTGAATGGGTGAGATAGGGAGAGGATGAAGGAGACAGATGGGGCAGTGCAAATAGACCAAGATAACTCTTATAGGCGGTTGACAGGGATTTATGCGTAGTTAAGGTGTTAAGGGTGCTTAAGATGCAAACAAGATGCAGGTACTATTGGTATTTTATATACACATCAAACTCCTCTAGCTTCCTTTATAGTAGTAATATATAACCAGATCTTGTTGTATAGATGTTAATTTTTTGACAACTTGACCTTAATGTTTTGACACTGCTTTGTCCTGTTAGCTATCCTTTTCATGTTTATCCCTCTAGTAATTATCATATCTGATATGAATTATGTGGTTTGAACATTTTAATTGATAGAGTGAGTTGGATTAGGCAATCATTTGGTTTCTGGAATTTTTCAAATTGTAGTGGATTTGTTACTTTCATATGAGAACTCTGATACCTAACATTATAGGGCCTTGTAAAGCGTAGGAGAAAAATATATTTAATGAAATGTTACATTTCTTTAAATTCAGTCAAATGTAACATAATATGCATGAAGTGTTGAATCTTTTGATGTGTTAGGAAACCCAACCCAGAAAAACCTTTTTCCTTTGCAAAGAACTCAATGCTATCATTGTGGGTTTGTAAGATTATACCTGTAGTATGGCTAGGGTTGCCAAAACATAGATGATCGAAAGTGATAGATGATTGGAAGTGGGGTGCATTGGATGACCCTACTATTTTTGTTCAGGTTCGGATGATGATTGCTTCATCTGGTTGTTTTATGGCAGTCTAATGGCTCATGAAGGTGCTAAGGATGATTTTTTATAGTCCTTTATATAATTTGATGCAGTCTTAGTAAATTATCCAATCTTTTAGTTGATTGCTAGTTGTTTGTGTTGAAAAGTCACATGTGCAATAGCAGATTGTGTTTGTTTCCTGGTTTTTAGACCATTCCCAGAAGCTGACTTTCAGGCAAATGAAATTTGTAATCATGTTCTAATTGCATCATTAACTACTACTTTCAAATTTTTAATAGATGTGACATGACCTGTCTCTTGCAGGTGAACGTTCCAAAGACAAAGAAGACTTACTGCAAGTCAAAGGAATGCCGGAAGCACACTCTGCATAAGGTTACACAGTACAAGAAGGGGAAGGATAGTTTAGCTGTGCAAGGCAAACGCCGGTATGATCGGAAACAATCTGGTTATGGTGGACAAACAAAACCTGTTTTCCATAAAAAGGTAAGAACCCATCTATGGAGATTTCTTTTTTGTGCTTTTAGAAAGAATATGTTTCATCCACGTGTTACAGTGCTTTAAATTATAAAGTTAGTGTTTCAACAATGGAAAATGTAGTGTACAGCATTACACTGGTGCAAAATTTTACAAACTTTGATTGCTTTCTTACTTTACTAGGCAAAAACTACTAAGAAGATCGTGCTGAGGCTGCAATGCCAGGGTTGCAAACATGTATCCCAGCATCCAATTAAGGTCAGGTTTTCAACTTGTGTTGTCTTTTTTTGAGTTGGTTTTTTTGCTGTTGCTTTCTTCTTCCGCACTCAAAAAAAAACAAAAAAAATTCCATCCCTACCTTCCTTTTGGTTCCATGGCTTCTTCTTTAAATGTTGCTACTCTATTTTGCAGAGGTGCAAGCATTTTGAGATAGGTGGAGATAAGAAGGGGAAGGGGACATCTCTTTTTTAAATGGCTAGTTATGGCAAATTGCAGTCCTGGTCGTGTTGCTATTCTATGTGGCTTGACATTTCAATTAGACATTTTTGATTTTGCCCACCTCAGTGTTTAGGTGGTTTCAGTTGTAGTTGTATGCAGTTTGGGAGGATGCTTGGATGTTTATTTTATGTCTGATCAAGGTACCAGTTTTGTCTTAATGTTTGAAACTTATTGCTCTATTTGCTGAAGATGCAGTATAGCCTTTATTTTCCCCCCAATTATGAGTGTTGCATGCTTGGTAGCCTGAATTAGTTACTTAATGCTAATTACTATCAAATCAAATTGGTTTTTACTCTCAATGCTGATTAAAAGGTTGTAAGGAAACATTTTACACTCGATTAACTGTGTATTTAAGGTGGTTGTTATGCCCTAGGCTCTTATGATCAATTTGGAGTGTGACAGTTATTATTTTTTTGATTACATGGTAATCCTACAGTAATGCTGTATATCAAATTGCTTACTAGTACGAAAAGTATATCCATAACTAGAATTATTAATATTGATATTATTGCTGTCAGATTAGTTATGTCCTGAATTAGGAAATATCCTTTACGAATTAGCTCGTATATCCAATAAATGACTGAAAACTAGCTAGGGTCTCCATGGATTGGGTTAGGATAGGCTCGTGAGATTTTTTTTTGGGTTGTGCTTGAATAGGGTAGGTCCAAATCTGTACTTGGGTGAGTCATTGGCCGGGCTGGGCCGGGCCGAATTGAACCTAACCGAACCGAGTCGGGCCAGGATTTCAACAAGAGTAGATTACTTGTAAACTCAATCTGTCACTCACTAGGCGGGCACGGAAGCCTTGTTGGACGGGTTTTTTTATTTAATGGAAAATGCTATTTTGACCAAATTTAAGGTCATAATTTAGTGACCTAATTACGTATAATTATTGGATTGGTTTGGTTGTGGGTTTTATCTAACATTGAAATTTACATCTAATCTAACAGTTGCATTGAAGTCACATCATTATGTCTCTAAATAAGGTTCGTATAACATTGTTCTTTAATAAATATATACATTTTTATTTAAAATTTTTATAAATTAATATTTTTATAAATTATATTTTTGAATTAATAATAAAGTGGAAATGAACAAAAAGTAAATAATGCATAAATTTATTTGTAAATAAAGGAGAAATTGTATCACAATAGGATGAATACATCATAATTTGGTTGATGGTTGCCTACCTATTTATTATTTGTACAACTCTACCTTTTAGAGCATCTCCAACAACAAAATGCATTTTATCTACTCAAAAAAATAATATTTTCTATTTTAACTACTCACTTTTTTAATACACACTCTAACATATTTTTTATATTTTTAACTACTCCTTTTAAACATTATTTCTCATTCCTTTTGTATTATTTTTTTTGAGAATAGTGAAAGGGAGAATGAAAGAGAATGAAAGAAAGGAGAGGAAGAGAGAAAAAAATAATATAAATTATATTTTCAAGTGGCTACAACGATACTCTATATTTAGATAGAGTATCACTATAGCAAAAATCTATTTTATAATATGTGAACATAATCTGTTAGAATATGATTTTTGATTTTGATTAGCTAAATTTTAACTATTTTATTCATTTGAAGTATCTGTTGGAGAAGCTCGTGTTTGTTTACATGAGAACATGGAAACATACAATGCATGCTTAATACATGTGTGTTTATTCAAATTTTTTTTTTCAAACAAAGTGGGTGGCCGGGCTTTTTACAAATGGCTAATGGGATCCGGGGTAGACTCAAACTCTCTCTTTAAGGATATTGTACTTGGACTTTGACTTGGGGTTGGGCTTAGGTTCAAGTGGGCAATTATTGGTCTTATTAAATTTTGGATCTATTTTTTGGACTGAGTAATGGTCCCGTGGGCCAACCAGACCCATAGACACTTCTAACACTAACACTAACGATATAATTCTAAGGCACTCTACTTCCCAAAAAAGTTAAAGGACTCGTTTGATTGTCGTATTAAAAATGAATGGATTAGATAAAATAATACAGTTTAATACAATATAGATGAGTTAAAGATAAGATTAAATATGATATTAGAATAATACGTAATTTTATCTAGTGTTTGATAATATACAATATAAACATTAGATAAAAGTTATTTAATTTAATCGGTTGTTTGATTAGAGAATTATTTCATCGTATTAATTTTGAATTAACAAAAATATTCTCAATCAGTATTTGTTACATTGATAACAACTGAATTTTATAACTTGGGGGGGTCTCCTTTTGATTCAAGTTTTCTGGTTAAAGTGCTGCGACAAGAGAATCATTCCAACACTGATTCTCTCTGGAAATATTTTTTCTCTGATTCCTTATTGAACTTACAAGACTTAATTTACAGTTTCAAAAAACAACGGTCTGGTCTTGAAGGTTGGTGGTATTGATTTAGATTCAAAAGCTTCATTTATTTGTTTTGTTTTGAAAGTTACAAGTTGCGTTTTCTCTCTACATTGATGGAGAAAGAATTTAACAGAATGGACGTGGAAACACAAATCTGTGATTGATAGAATTTATTTCACTTTCAAATCAGTCTGTTATGGGATGATATTAAATAACTAGTTATTGCCAATGCCTGAAGGCACACAGTAATAAAAAAGGGTAAACAATAAATATATTTGTATTCATATTCAAAATTAAATTACAAACATAGAGAAGAAATAAAATAATTTAAGCATCAATTTATAGTGAGGGGTGAGAGGTGGTGGACGATAGTGGTGGTGGTGGTAGGAGACGGTGATGATTGTGATAATTGGTAATGACTGTGGTGGTGGTGGCAATGGTGAGGGTGAGGGTGGGGGTGGCGGCGACGGCAGTGATGGTGGTGTTGGTGGCGGCGACGGCAGAGGTGGCGGTGGCGATGGTGGTGAGACGGTTTCGACCACTATTTTAAAAAAAAAATATTTATGAGAAATAATTTCTAAAAGTACTTTTAAAAAGTCACTCCAAACACACCCTTAAGAGTCTATTTTTCTTATTAAATATAGGGTGTTAATATTAGCCGTTAGATTAATTTTAAAGTAAAATTTAAAGTGATCTTAACTGCAAATAGTAAAAGTTATTTTGTTTATCTTTTGAAATTTGAATTGTAAGTTACTTTATTATATAAATTAGTTGTTGCATGTGTTTAAAGACACAGTAATAAAAAATGGTAAACAATAAACATATTTATATTCATATCCAAAATCAACTCACAAACATATAGGAAAGATAAATGAATTTAAGCATCAGTTGTACTGGGGATGAGAGGTGGTGGGCGACAGTGGTGGTGTTAGGAGATGATGATGGTTGTGGTGGGTGACAATGACCGTGGTGGCAGTAGTGGTGGTAGTGGCGACGACGACGGTGGTGGTGGTGGTGGTGGCAGCGGTGGTAATGGTGGTGACAGTGATAGTGGTGGTGGTGGCGGTGGTGGTGGTGGTAGAGGTAGTGGTGGTGGGGGTGGGGATGGTGGTTGTAGAGGTAGTGGTGAGACGGTTTCAAATATTTTTTTTTTTAAATATTTATAAGAAATAATTTCTAAAAGTACTTTTAAAAAGTCATTCCAAGCACACCCTTAGAGGACCTATTTTTCCTTTAAAATTTAGAGTGTTAATATTAGCCGTTAGATTAACTTTCAAGTAAAATTTAAAGCAATCTGAACCGCGAAAAATAAAAATTATTTTGTTTATCTTTTGAAATTTAAATTGTAAGATACTTTATTATATAAATTATGTGATGAGAGGAAGGATTGAGGTATTGGAGTCGACATCGAATACCAAAAGAGAAAACATTAGTAAATTAGTTATAACCCGTGCCTGAAGGCACAATATAACATAAAATTGAAGTCCAAAAAATCGATCTCACTATATTAAATAATAATTTTTCTTTCTTTCATTTATTTGATTATATCATTCAAAATTTATTTTTACTCATTATTTTCTTAAAAATATTGACAAAATTTTTTCAAAATACATAATTCGATAAAATTTTCTCAACATATGTATACTATCGTGTATGGATAATATCTGAAATAAAAATTATGTTAAACTATAAATTAATCAAATATTAAATGATTGAATATGTGATAGAAATGAGTGATGATGATTTTATGGGGAAAATTTATAAGGGATAAATTCAATTTCATATGTGTTTTATTATATAGACTAATTATTGTCCGTGCTTGAAGGTACAAAGTAATAAAAAAATAATTAACAATAAACATATTTGTATTCACACCCAAACTTAAATCACAAATATAGAGATGAAAGAAAAGAATTTCAGCATCGGTTGTAATGGAGGTGAACGGTGATAGTGGTGGTGGGCGGTAGTGGGGGAGGTGGGAGATGGTGATGGGTGGCAATGATGATGATGATGGTGAATTTTGAGTGACGATGGTGATAGTGGCAGCCATGAATGACGATGGCGGCGGTGATGGGCGACGAGTGATGGTGGTTGGTAGTGGTGGGGTGACGATGGTGGTGGTGGGCGATGACGATGGTGGTGGTGGGTGACGACAGGTGCTTTTAAACGACAATCTGATGGGTGGTGGTGAATGACGGTGGTGGTAGGTGTGGTGGGGATGGGTAACAGTGGGTGACGACAATGGTGGACGATGATGGGTGATAGTGGTAGGTATAGTAGGGGTGGGTGATGGTGGACAACAATGATGATGGTAAGTGCTGACGGTAGGAGACAGTGGTAGTGGGATGATGATGGTAGTAATAATAAATATAAAAATAAGATGATGATAATGATGGTGGCGGGTGCTGACGGTGGGCAACAGTGGTAGTGGGATGACGGTGGTAATACTTATATTTACGGACGACAATGATAACAATCAGTGGTGGGTAGCGATGGTGGTGGGGGGCAGTGGTGGTGGTGGTGGTGATGATGGTGGCGGTGGCGATGGTGTTAGTGGTGATGGTCGTGGGGCGGTGGCGATGGTGGTAGTGGTGATGGTCGTGGGGCGGTGGTGGTAAGGGTGATAGTGGGACAATGACAGTGATAGTAAAGTGGAGGTGGTGGTAGCAGTGGAGATGATGATGGTGGGGCTGTGGGGGTGGTGGGGAGACGACAGTGATAATGACGACAACGGTGGTGGTGGTGGGGCGTTAGTGATGGTTAGGGATGTCAATTTTTGACTCGAACACGAACTCGACACAAATTCGAAAATAACACAATTAGTTAATACGAGTAATAAATGAGTAAAATTAAGGTTCGACACGAATAACACGGTTAATGAGTACTATAGATAGAAAATAATTATTTAATGAGTATTGTAAAATATAAAATAAGAATTTTATAATTTTTTAAATAGTATTATATTAGTTATTGTCAAATTAAATAATTTTTTATTAACACGAATATTGACACGAACCTGACACGTACCGAAAATAATACAACATGAAAATAACACGACCGAAAGTGACACGATACAAAACTGGTACGACACGACACGATTGACACCCCTAGTGCTGTTGGTGGTTGTTTGACAAAGGTGATGGTGGAGTGGTGGTAGTAGTAGGGCGATGAGGGTGAAGGAAGTGGTGGTGGTGGTGATGATGGTGAGGATGATAGTGGGACAGTGGGGTTGGTGGTGGTGATGGTGGTAGGGTGGCAGAAGGAATGGTGGTGGTAGGGTGGCGTCAGTGGTGGTGGTAGTGACAGTGACGACGGTGATGATGGTTGTTGTGGCAAAGATGGTAGTGGTGGGGCTGATGGTGGTGAGGGGGGGTAGTTATGGTAGTGAGGTGACAACGATGGTGGTAGTGGTGAAGGTGGTGGGGCGGTGATGGGGGGTGGTGGTGTTGAAGCGGTTCTAAACACTATTTTTTTTTAAAATACTTATGAGAAGTTATAAGTTCTATAAACACTTTTAAAAAGTTATCTAATACATATTCTTAGGAGACTATTTTTCCTATTAAATTTGGGATGTTCATATTAGCCGTCGGATTAACTTTAAAGTAAAATTTAAAGAGATCTCAATTAAAAAAAGTGAAAGTTATTTTGTTTATCTTTTAAAATTTAAATTGTATTATATTTTATTATGTAGATATTCAATATAACGGTGATATCATTACATTTTTCTCTCAAAATCAAACAAAGAAAGAAACGTCAGCCACCGTCGTCATACACAGTCAGAACACTATGGGCATGACAGAAAATAGAGAGTTGGTTAAATCTAGTTCAATAAAAACACCGATAAAAACAAAGTATTTTGCAGATTTTTCATATAAAAAAGCGAAAACGATAGAGACCTAAGTAGATAAATAACATAATAATAATGTATGAGGTTCCTGACGCAACAAAATCTTACCATGCAGAAGAAAAAGTTATTTCCATGACTCGATTTCATAAAGTTCACCTCTGTGCCAATGTCACTTGAAAAAATGACAAAAAAAAAAAAAAAGTTTTAAGAAAGAAATTGTCAACATAATCATCATTTGGTCCCCAGATTTGCTACACCCCTGACTCAATTTTCTTATTTGGTCCCCGGTGATTAGAATCCACTTGAATTGCACAACTGGGTGGATGCATAAAGGGATGATTTATCATTCCTATTCATTCTGCACCCTTCCCTGCAAAATTCTCTCTCTTGGGTTTCTACACTGCACTGGTATTACAAACTTCGCAAATCTTAAGGAAGCACAAAGCAAAAAGGTCCCATAGAAGTGAGGATTGCTTTAATGACCCGCCACTGATCTCCATGAGTTATAAACACAGACACAAATAACAATGCAATATCAAATTACAAGAACTTGACTCGCCCCCCTTTCTTCCGGTGACATTCATGTGCACAGCTTAGCTATACGAGTACCACTCTTACCTCACGTGTGTGGCCCAAGTCTAAGCCATTAATTTGCTTGTTCCCATGAAAAAAAAGTTGCATAAAAGATTTTCTAAAGAGAAACCCTATAGCAAATACATTGAAAACGTTGGATAGTTGATGTTCATTATGCCTAAGAATCCAATAATCCGTGGACAGCGCAATGAAAAGGGGCTAACTGGACGACAATGCAATAGAACGGAGCGTAATCTCAATTGTTGCCAATATAACAAGTTCTAAACCTATTATAGTACTCGAAGAATAACTGCTCTCGTGAAAGTAGATAGAAATTTTGTTACCAAAAAGGGGACTCATTATATGCATTCTCTGCTTTGGTTATTTTTCTGTCTTATTAACTGCTCACTACATTAAACATACACCATAAACTGATAAGGCAGTTTTATTTATTATTATTATTTTTAATTTATCCTTTGCTTTGTTATGAATGGAGATTGGTGGATCGCATCATACTTCTTCTGTGAAATATAGAGCCTGTGTTTTCTTCCCAAGTTCAAGACAATTATTTAGTCTTTGTCTAACAGTAACTTAAGCATCACACTCGCTATACACACTTTTTTAGCTCCAAATCTCTACCAAAAGTCAAAGCCCCTCTGCCAATGGATCCACCACCTCTTCCACCCCATCCACCAACTGTTCCCAACCCCATCCCAGCAGTAGCCACCACTACTGCCACCGCCATTACCACCCATCTCAGCTGCCCCGATTCAACCAACTCCTCCCCTCGCTCCCACCAAAATGACACCTGGGATGAGCCTCTACCACCCGTCCCAGGTGCCAAGTTGCGCCTAATGTGCAGCTATGGGGGACACATCATCCCTCGTCCTCACGACAAGTCCCTCAGCTACGTAGGCGGTGACACTCGCATCGTGGCCCTGGACCGCCACTCATCTCTCTTATCTCTCTCCTCTCGCCTCTCTTGCACCCTCCTCAATGGCCGCCAGTTTACTCTCAAGTACCAACTCCCCAACGAAGACCTCGACTCCCTCATATCAGTCTCCACTGATGAGGACTTAGAGAACATGATTGAAGAGTATGACCGCACAACCTCAACTTCGCCATTGAAACCTTCTCGCCTTCGCTTGTTTCTCTTTCTTGCCAAGCCTGAGACTGCAGCCTCAATGGGTTCTCTCCTTGACGACGTCAAGTCGGAGACATGGTTTGTCGATGCTCTTAATGATGCTGGTTTGCTCCCTAGAGGAGTGTCTGATTCTGCCGCCATTGATACCTTGTTAGAATTTGATGGGAATGCGAATAATGAATCTTGTAGAGAAATGGAGGGAGAGGCCAAGATTGAGTCTTTAGATGGCAAGGAAGTAAAGAATGTGTCTGATCATATGCATATAAACATGCCTGATTCGACAATGGTGGAAACAAGTTCATCGTTCGGGTCAAGTTCTTCGTCCCCTTCAATGTCGAATCTGCCTCCTATTAAGGTTCGGGTTGAGGAAGGTGGTGCTATGGTGCAACATCAGATGGTTGGCTTAGATGAACAGTTCTCACAGACGAGTGTTGCTGCAACAATTCAAAAGCAAGATGATGTGTTTGTTATGATGTCTGCTCCTCCTCCTCCACTTCCCACTGTTGTTGGTGGTGCAACGGTGGATCCAACAGTTGTTTCTGATGATCGTCCGAGTCGGGTATTTTCGGATGATGAGAGGTCGGATCACGGGGCACCAGGTGCTTTCCGGAAGCCGCCATTGCCACTGCAGCCGCAACAGAGAAAGCTTGGTGCTGATCCTTATAGTTTTCCATCACCTGATTCAAAACATGGTGGAGGTTGCAGTTTGCCTTCACCTGATTCGGTGGCCAGGTACCAAAACCGTTTCTCTTTTCATTTTTTGAAACTTAAAAACCATAACCGTTATGAAACGTCACCTAAGTTGTCACAATTGACTGCTAATGAAACGTTGGAAAAGAAAGGAAATCGAATACTAATGTTTATGTCATGGAAGGTCCAATTGCTCCACTCAGTAAGGCCCTGCAAGTACTACATGAGTTGGTTGAGCTCCAATTTTCAACTGATAGTTCCTAGAAAATTAGTGAAAGCACAATTTTGTTTCCTTTGAATTTCCTCTGCCTATCTGCAACTTAGGTTTCAATTGCTTCAAAACTAGTCATTAGCTGTGATTTATCTTTAATTTAGGTGAGGTATTACGGATGTTAGATACAGCTATTGTATTTTCTTGGCACATGGTACAGGGGTTGTCAATTGGTAGAGTCGTGTTTCTAAGTCTTATTATTATGTATAATTGGCTTCCTCTCGACTTTGGGATCTTATTGTCTTCGCGTTTGGTTGAGTTTTTGTCCACTAATTTATGTATTGGGTCTACCCGTTTATCATTTAAACTCGTTGGACTAAACCCAAACAACTAACTTTGTGTCGATTTCCTATCGGGTTTATGGGTTGTGTCTAGAATTGTTGGGCGTGCATGGATCCATGTTCAGTGTTGCCACAATAAACTATTAACTGTCAACAATCAGATTTTGATCTTAATTTGTCTGATCATTTTTCTGTTATACAAAATTCAAGTTCTATTCTGCCACTTTCCATGCTAATCCAGAGGAATTTTTCTTACGATAATCTGTTGAAGTTATTTTAAAGTCCTGGGAGACCTAATATGATTTTGAAATGTATTTCTGATTGAATTCTTTTTGCAGTGATAGCAGTATTGCATCAGCAACAACAACTCTCTCAAAACACACAATTTATCAAGACCCAACTCTTATTGCAACCTGGGAAAACAATGCTCCTGCTGGCCGAATTACTTCCAGTGAGAATATTTCAGATCTGAACTCTCAAATCCAGATTCAGCAAGTTCAGGATCCTGTGTACTTCCTACCTCCACAGCACAATCAGCAACAAAAACAACAACAATTTGTTCACTCGAGCGCACATTATGTTCATCACCCTGCCACAGGTCCCATGCCAATGTCGTCTTACTACCAAGTGTATGCTCCCCCTTCACAGCAGCCTCTTTATCAACCGATGAGTCAACAGTATCCAGTGTACTTATTTCCTGTCTCCCAGACTCAACCTTACAACATGACTGTGCAATCCAATATATCAGATGCTACTGCAGTGGCTTCAACTCGGCCATTAAACCCACCAAATCCGGCTTCTTTTGCAGCTTACAATGAAACCAATCCACCCATTTACCCTCCAAAGACAACTACGCCAACAATGCTTGAAATGGATGCAAATTTATACAGAACAGCTGGTACTGCAACTCCAACAATGGTTCAAGTTTCGTCTCAGCAATATCAGAAACAATATGTTGGTCTTTCTCAAATGCCTCATCCATCACAGTCCATTGCTGTTGCTTCTGCTACCACTTCTGATTATGGTTCTGAATATGCTCATCCTTCACATGATCAAATGTATTATGCTCAGCATGCCGCTGCTCCATTGCCGCCTCAGTACCAAACCATGACCCCAGCATCAGCAGTGTTGCTATCCCAGGCTTCAGCACAAGTAGCTGCAGATAACACTGAACATCAGATCAGAAGCTCACACCAATTATAAGTCGGGGATAATCGTTCTCATGCAGTGATAGTTAGCAGGTCTTAAACTCTGATTGATATATTAGAAGAAACTTGTCACTGTCTTCTGCATAAGTGTTTAAGTCTATTTGTCAAGGTAATGAAGGAGCTTAATTATAGGTTTACTTGATAAAAGAATCCTCTGAATGGTTGTTGTTTACTCAGTATGTGTACTAGTTTTATTGAATAAAGAAAGCTGTTTAAAATTCTTTTTGTGACTTGTTTATCATTGCAGTACTAAATATTACGAGAGAATGGTGTGCTTTTAATTTGACAAGAAAGAATAAAGGTCCCCTGCTTCATCTTCTCAGTCAGTTGTAAAGCATCACACATTATTATTCTTTGAAGGGCAAGAGTTCTAAACTCTAATAAATACTCTATCATGTTTTACAAGAATTTGAATCACACAGCCTTAATTTTTCTGCTAAAAATATAATCTGCATAAAGTATTCAGGTCCAAAAGATTCTCAATTGTCACCAGGAGGTTTTCCCATCAAGAAGGCCTGGAATAAGATGCAGGCAACCCTGGTCTATAAATAGCAGGTTAGAATAGTAAGTTCTGTTGTGAATCCAAGAGTTACCATCACAATTGTAAATTAAAGTAAACAATCTTACAATTCCATGATTCAAAATTAGAATCAACCGATTTTTTTCCCTGGTAAGTAGAATCCACAGAATTTTAGCATAAACAAAAGAGCATGAAGTGTAAACAAAAGCAAGATGTAAACCAAAACCTTACTGAATGTAGAGTCATCTTGTATGACATCTCTAATTTCTAGGATATTATTTTCCTTTGATAGAACAAGGACACTTTTCTCTTATTGTGATGACAATGGAGATTTAAATATCACAACTCGCAAGATGCAACACAAACAGGGTTGATAAATTGATGGTGTCTTGGAGATGGTGGTATATATTCAGATGATACTTGGTGATTGTTCTTTTCATTTGATGACTTAAAGGATAATTTATCTCTTCCTAGTCTTCAGTGTGGGAATCCTAGAGCACACCTTTGCCCACATATAGTCCCTGCACAAGTCAATTATCCTATTCAGAAAATATTTAAATGAAGATGAATCTAGAATTTTTCAATCTCAGTCTGCGTCAGGTAGAACTTTTTGTGACAGTTTAGGGACTGATTTGAAATCTCACAAGATTTCAACCCCAACGATTATAGATATCATGGATAAACATTTTTTCTCTTGTGTTTTGAAAGCAAAGATAAGGTGATTATATATAGAAAGTCATCAGTCATCTTATCACTGGCAATGGTGACCTACTGCTGTGGCTTCTTGATTTAGCTTTGCAATGCTCCTTCATACTGTGCTCTGTCACTCTTCTTAGTTAAATTTTTAGAAAAAATAATCACGACAGATGAAGCCTCATTTCTTGTATCGTATTAAACAAAAACAATATCCATTTCTAATACGGCAACAAACGAGCTCGGTGTAAATTCGCTCAAATATAGTAAAATATAGGAATGTCATTTACAAATATCCGCCTTTTATCTTCAAATTGCATTTCATTAGTTTTCACAAGAAAAGCAGCTTCCTGTCAGCTTTCCACAGTCCATGCTTGATGCTTTAAGTTTTGCACACATTCTCCAAATAGAAGGCAATGATCCTCCAAACTTCAGTCTGAAGAATATGCAACATGGGTCCTCAAGAACTACATTTGCTGTGTACATAAAAAAAATGTCAGAATACGAAGCATAAAACTAAGGAAGCGGACAACAGAAAATACAGAAAAAAAAGGCCCATTTGCTTGAAGCACCAATAATATTATTTTGAATCAAATTTATTGACATTATTTATTGGTCTAATCTATCATAATAATAAAATTAGTATTGGGTCCTAAAGGATACTGAGATTCATTATTAATCAAATAATAATAAGTGATTAGGTCAAGAAATTAGACCAAAGTAACATTCTTTTAAAAATAATTTCCAACATTTCACAATAGAAAGAGTGTCATGTGTCATGTTGAGTTAGATATTGTAATAATGCAATTTAAATTTAATTTATTGATATAATTTGTATACCTAAGGGCCGTTTGTTTTGAGTATTAAAGTGGTATAAGGAGGTGGTATTAGGAAAATATAATACGTGAGACCCATCTTATACGTTGTTTGATTGACATTTATAGTCAGTACTATTTTTCGGGTCGTAATACCGACCCGCTATGAACAATAACCATAATATCTTGTAGAAGGTCTTAATGAATACCACCTAGGGGGTGATATTATATTCTTGGTATATGTATTATAAACTAAAAAGACCGAAATGCCCTCCGGTACAATTCTCATATAAAAGCCTAACCGCAATTTTTGACTTTTTAAAGGTTAAAATTATCTTTTACATTAGTTAGCCGCAATTGTTAATTTTTTTAAATAGGTATTACACAGATAATATTTGTGATAAACAAACAAGGAGAATGATGAGATTATAGTTTAACACCGTATATAATATACTATTGGATAATAGTGGAATGAATATAAAACCTTATACCACAAAAATTTTATACTCGAAACAAACATGTCCCTAATCTATTACATGGTCTTTTGGTTGTTGCATTACAAGGGGTATTAAAGAGTCATATTAAATGAAAACACTTTAATATGGTTTAAATTACAATTGAATGTAAAAAATCAATTTGTATTATTTATGAGATTAGTTAGATAAGTATCTCTTGCGGATAATTCTAATACAATCTATCTGTACTATTAAACTAATTTTAAAACTATCCAGAGAGATGGTATTATAATGCAGCGTAGGTGTATTATATTGTTATTTTATAGTTTCACCTTCAATCTAAGAAAAATCCATGCAATCAATCTATCTTACTTATTTTAATAATAAACAAATACATATATCTAAAACACACTTTTACACAAATAAAGAATGTTTGTTTAATTATAATATTATTTAAAAAAATTCATAATACGTAAAATTTACATAAATTTTGGTTCTATTGATATAGTCTTATGAAAGGAAACTCCATGTTACCAAAAAAAAAAAATTCAATATTGTACTGCTGGTTACAGATTTTTTTTGGTAAAATTACACATTTGAAAGAAAAAATTATTAATGTTCAAGAAAAGTCTATGATCGACCATAGACTCTCTTGATCATAGGGTTTTTTTGCTTAGTCCTAATTTTTTTTTTTGCGTAGTTGTAACTTTAATCCTATCCTTTAATAAGATCTTACTTTCGAATCTTTTTAACACCAAAATTTAGGACTTTTGTTTAGAAGTATAAAATGGGGTCTCTCTTCAACCTACTACTCCTCACCCAACTTTTTCTCTCTCTCTGCGAAGAGCTGTCTCCCATCTCTCTCGTCTTCTTTGCGAAAACTCATCTTCTTTGGTGGTGGTTGAATGGTTGATGATGGTGGATTTTGCTTGGTTTGGTATTGGATGGCTGGGTGTTGGGGTTTGTTTGGTTTTGGTGTTGGGTTTCGGGGATGAGGGTGGATTTTAGTGGTGGTGGTGGGTTTCGGGGTTGTGGCTTTGCGGGAGTGAGTTTCGGTAGTGGTGGGGTTGGGTGGTGGTGTATTTTGGGCAGTAGGCGATGAGTTTCACAGAGAAGTTTATGAGGGTGGGTTTCGATGATGGTGGTGGGGTTGGGTGGTGGTAGTGCTGGGTTTCGGGGTTACAGGGGGTGAATTTCAAGGGATGGTGGTGAATTTCAGGGCAAGGGTCGTGGGAATGGGTTTCAGTGATGATAGGAGTTTGGTGCTGGTAGGTGGTGCTGGGTGATGAATTTTGGATATAATACTAAATATATTTTTTATTTTTATTTTTATGTTAAATGATTGTCAAATATATTTTATATTTTTAATTTTTATCAAAAGTAAAACAAAATTTTTTTTTAATAAAAAAAATATAATAACGAAAACGTTACAAAACGCATCTTTAATCTTAAATTTTATCTCTCTAATCAGAATTATCGTGGATTCTTGAATAACATCACATCCAAACCATTCCTATTATTATTGGACTTACAATAAATCCCATTTAGCATTAAACCTTACTTTAATTCAACTATTACAATGAATTCAGTAATGGTGCGTGGACACAAACTAAAGTCATTAGTTTGTTGTGCACTCTCTCTCTCTCTCTTTCTCTCTCGTTGGGAGTGACTATCTTAGGCGCATGAAAGAGTTTAGATGCCATAGCCATCGCTTCTAATGTCCACACGACCACTAATGTTTATTGGATATTCTATTCTGGGCCTTCCTAACCCCGCGCAAATTCTCTCTCTCCCTCTCCCTCTCTCTGTCCGTCCCCCGCCCCCTTAACATGGTCTGGGTTCGTTGTCTCCTCCAACTCTCTCATTCCCCTGGATTCTTCTGGTCATTTTGTACATCCAACAGTACGTTTGCCCCTCTCTCTCTCTCTGTCTGCATGCACGTCTTGTATGCATCATCTGTAATTCTGTATGTTTTTCATTCAATTTATTACACAGGTACATAAGTGTTTCATTCAATTTACTACACATTTCATGCAGTATAAGTTTGGTCTCTCATATTTTCTTCGTGCCAATTGTCTTCTTTTTTGGTTTAGAATACACTTTGTTGAGGTTAATGATATTGAAATTTCATTGCATTGATTATTATCTGCTTTTCCAGTTTTTCAAGCAAGTTAATCTCTTATATTCCAGGCCCTTGATGGAGCAACACATCCATTTATATTTTGATTCTATTGATAGCTTTTTAATTCAAATTAGGTATTTCGAAATGCACTTACTGATCACATCTGGAGTTGACTCCATTCATCTCTTGTCCCGAGAGATTGTACCCTGATATCTTAACAAACCACATTAGGTTGTTGATTCTTATGGCAGTTAGATGAGTTAATAAAATTATCTGGGGTTTCTTTTATAGTTTCTCTTGTGGACGTACAATGCAATGAATAATGAAGAACGAAAATAATCACAAACAAGAATACAAGATTTATGTGGTTCGATAAAAATTCTACCTATGTTCATTGGATCGACTGCTTTTCACAAGATTTACAGGCACTACTTAATAAGTATAATTCTAGTCCAACTAGTAAACCAAGTTTGACACTCGGTCCTAATAAATCTCCTCTACCAAATTTACAATGGAAATGAGCCACCCACTAGTTCCAACAGTTTTAAGACTAGGTTGCTATATTAATGGTCTATCAGCTACGGAAAATTGGGTTTTCGGATTAGGAGTTCTGGTCAGAAATGTTCTGCAATATCTGATTTGAATTGATTGGGGATTGTTCTTCTTTTTTGAGATTTTAAACAAATTGCGGAGCAATTTTTGTCAAAATCATAGAATTTAGATGAGTTCTTGTTTACGAAGTATGCCATATTTTATAGATTCGGCATTCTTATTGTTTTAGCATGCATTTGGTTTTAGTATACATGTATCTTTTTGAATAGACGATAACATTACATGTAAGATTTGTTAAAAATTCACAGAAAATAATCCCAAAATTTCAGTTTACAACACTTCCTATTTTGAATTTTCGGTTTGTGTGTGTATGGTGAGCTGGGGTGTTGGCTGGAGGTTGGGGGTTGTATTTAGTTGGTATCATGTTTATGTTTATTACACGGGGAAGAAGGAAGCGACTATGAATTCATTTTTAGTTTAGTTTTAGTGTATATGTTTGTTTTGAGTATGAATTGATTTTACCTGTAGGAATTGCTGAGAATTCACAGAATATCCTCAATTTTTAGTTTACAAAACCTTCTATTTTGAACTTTGCGTGTATGGTAAGTAGTGGTGTTGGCTGGAGGATTGGGGTTGTATGGCTTCAAAGCTTTAGAAGTTGTCCTATGAGTGACCAACTGTTATGCAGTATTTCGAAATAAATGATTGTTAGTCCTATTCCTAGAGCAGATACTTTATCTTTATTATTCGACCATGGTTTGGTGTAAGTAGTCAGTTTGTACCATGCAACAGATACAATGAAAGAAATGTGTCTGACTACATGGTAACAGGTTTAAGTGTGTGGTTGGATGAAGGTGATGTTCATTATCTATGGCAGAACAATCTTTATTTGGTATCATGCTTATAACATGGGGAACAAGGCAGTCACATTGTATATTTAAATTTAAATTATTCTTTATAGTCTTTTCGGTTGGTGGTATTATTCCAATTACCCTTTTTTTGTAGAATAATATATCAAAATGCCAGAGATTCAGTTGGGAGGGCACACTATTAAATCCCATGGAGCCAAGTTGGCAAGAGAGCATATGCATGACTGGCTAATTCTCCTGCTCCTTGTTGCCATCGATGGTTGTTTGAATGCAGTAGAACCTTTTCATCGATATGTCGGGGAAGGGATGATGACAGATCTGAAATACCCTTTCAAGACAGATACTGTGCCTATGTGGGCTGTTCCAGTATGCATCTGATTTCAATGATTGTGATTTTATTAATGATAGCTAATACTCTGATCGATACTTTCACATCAAAATTGATTCACTCAGTGAAAGCTCATTCTTATTCTGAGTTTTAAAGTTCGTTTTTGCTTTGACAGATCTTTGCAATTCTTTTGCCCTGCACCATATTTCTGATTTATTATAATTACAGAAGGGATGTCTATGATTTGCACCATGCTGTATTGGGTAAGGCTCTTTTTGAGCTACTGAAGAGTAATACTTGTCTGCCATTTGTTTGTACATTGTGATATCTACTGAAATGATTACTTGTGCAAATTTGCAGGTATTCTATACTCTGTCCTGGTAACTGCAGTTATCACGGATTCAATTAAAGATGCAGTCGGTCGGCCACGACCAAACTTCTTTTGGAGATGTTTTCCCAATGGAATACCGGTTTGTACATCTTTAAGATTTTATAGTTATCTCTTCATCTATTCTCCATTTCTCAACAGTATTTTAGGAACTAACTTTGCTTAAAGAGATGTGTTATACTGGCCTAACGAGGTTGTCCTGTGCATGTCCAGGCATTCAATCCCCTTGATGGCAATGTTCTGTGCACTGGGGAGAAGAGAATCATAAAGGAAGGATACAAAAGCTTCCCAAGTGGGCACACTTCATGTAAGTATTGATAGTTATTAGAGCCAGATGATCATGCAGGTTGTAAGTACCACCTTTATAATGTTGATTGAGCATGTTGGTATTCCCATGGAGTGGTTAATATAGGTCTTAACTGTGCTTTTACATTTTTCAATTTCCTTTTTACTTTTATATTGAGGGTATTAGAGTTTATGGTTACATTTGATTAAATTTTCAAACATGTTCATGGTTCTATTGTTTACTTGGGTTCTTAACAATCGAACTATGGGCTTACTGGGGTTTTACATTGTCAATGAGCAGGGTCCTTTGCTGGTCTTGGATTCCTTGGGTGGTATTTATTAGGGAAAATTCAAGTGTTTGATCGTAGGGGCCATGCTGCAAAACTCTGTATTGTTATCCTCCCATATCTTTTTGCTGCACTCATTGGAATTTCTCGTGTGGATGACTATTGGCATCATTGGACAGATGTATTCGCTGGAGCCCTCATAGGTCCGTTCTGTCAAAATGAATTTTTGATGGATTATTTATTTATTTTGTTGGAATTTGTATTATGTAATATATCTGTCTGATCAGGTGCCATTTCAATGCAGGATCGGCTGTTTCTACATTATGCTACTTGCAGTTCTTTCCATTACCACATCACGAAAATGGTTAGTTACATAGTTTCACCTGTTCATGCTTACTATGAACAGCAGTATAATTCCTGCTCCATGAAATTGTTACTAACTTCTTGAACTCTAGTTAACAGTTCATGAGTTATATACAAACAGTTCATGAGTTATATACAACCTCTTCTAAATTGGTATGAAAGAGTATACACCTGATCCAAATGTGGGTATAAGCTTACAAAAATTTTGGGTGGTAGTGAATTTCTTATTCAGGTTTTTGCTTCAAGAAATTATTTGCTTACATAGGGGATACACAAAGAAATTGAGGTGGCTTGGTTATTTTAATTGTCTTTGTTGTGTTTTTTTTTTTTTTCTGTTATTTATGGTTCATAACTATGTTTGTTTCCATTTTTCTTTAATGATCGGTTAAAAATGGATCAAATGACGGAGAGGGATCTTCTCTCCCAGGAGAGTGCGACTGAGAGATGGAGAGAGGGCGAGAGGGAGGGTAGAGAGAAAATTGAATGTGACAATATGTTTGCACGATTCATGTTTCTTAAACTGATACAAGGCTACGCAATGTGATGTCCTATTATGGTTCATCATATGGATACGAAAAGTTTTAGTAGGGTAATTATCATTGTTTGATTATGACACACATTTCTCTGTATCTAAAAAGACCATACAGAAATCTGAAGCACTCCTGTTTCATAAACTGCATGTTGTAATTTGTTTGCAAAGAACAAAGGTAGCCAGAGCAGGCAACCAAGTCGTTTATGTTTTCTTCTGTTTTTTTTTTTTTTTTCTGTGTAACCCGTTTGAAGCAGTATGAAGATATTGATAATCTCTTTTTCAAAATTTTAGGTACTATTTCATAATACTTTTCTAAATCGACTTTTTAAAATGAAAAATGATTTTGTCTAAAAATAAGATCATATTTAATTACTATTTTGTAAAAGTGATTTAGATACATTTTAATACATGAATTGTAATCTTAATATACATGTATAGTATATTATTATAAATAGTAATTATTATAAATGTGATTATGGTTAGAAGAACTAAGCCTCGACAAGGAAAACCCAACAAACAAAAATGCAAAAACAAACACTACCTGTAAAAAGCCTTTAAAAAAGCCAAAAAAGTATTGAAAGTACTATAAAAAAACTGTTACCAAATGGTATCTTATTTTTATATGTTTGACCAAAAAAAAAAAAGGGTACCTTATTAAGCTAAATCTACTAATCTAACCACTTTAAAGCACGGCCTGATTGAAAACATTTTTTACTCTTTTTAAGTGTCAAGTTCAAATTCTTTCTGTATTATGAATGCATATAGTGGCTGAAATGACAGGCAAGGAATTTTTTCTGTTTCTCCTTTTTTTGACGCAATACATGTTGCCTAGTAACACTTGGTTTTACTCCGTGACTATTTTTTCAAGCAATTTATTTCGAAATTTTGAGTGCAGAAACTAGGCTGCTTGTAGTCAAAGGACCAAATTTTTATTTCGGTTTATAATTTCGTAGTGTAGGTTATTTCGAAAACGTTTCAATTATATTTTGGAAATAAAATGAAAACAAAGAAAAAAATAAGAAATATATTTTTGAAATATTGATTGAAAACATATTGAAACACATCAAAATATTGTATTTCCGATATTGAATTGTTGATAGTGAGCCATGCTTCCTTAATTTATGTTTGATATCCCCGATTTTCGAGTTGGGGTTTGTTTTGATGCATCTAATGTTAATTTATCTTTAAAATTCTCTCTTATCTTTTGGAACATGCAGGTTGGGCACCTCATGCATTTTTCAGAATGCTGGAAGAAAACGATGTTCACCTCTCAATAGCGATGGAAACATCTACGGTCACAAAATCTAGTTCACAAAATGCAACTGCAGAGCTAGAAACTTTGGAATGTGGTAGGAATTAATTCTAGAGTTTTCTGTTTCATAAAATCTGTACATGCAAGATTTCAATTTGTATCATTCTTAATATATAACAAACCGATCCAAATTTTTTTTTTGGGTCTGCAATTCATATTCAATCATTTTTGTTTTATATAAATTCTAGGTCTAGTTGTTAACTTTAATTAAAGCAACCTTATATAAGGTGGCTTATGATTCAAGTTCACGTTGCATTTGTTTGGTGTCGGGGGATTCTTAAATCGAGTATGATTGAGAGTTTTTCGTGCTAAGACTATGTACATATGATCTTTCTAAATGGCGGAAGTCTTCTGCACTTGCCCTTTTTGTTTGTTTGATATGCTATATTCAGTGAAGGTAATTGGGCTTTTTAATATACATCAACATCCTGAACTTGATTTTGACCCAGAAAAATGTTAGCAAGTGGTTTCTCACCACTGATGGCAAGGATACATTTTGGGTTCTAACCTTTGCATGGAACCAGTGGTTAGACCTGAAGCGATATCAAGTGCTGGTAGGTAGCGGGTTTGGATCTAGGAATCATTCCGTTACAGGTGGGAGCCTTGGGCATAAGTACGACCTTTGAATTCACCATTCTATCTTGCCTCGTTTAGATGAAACTTCAATCAGTATTACATCAGTGGTAGGCAAATAGTAATGCATTTGCCACATGGACGTAGTGAATTACATCTTTCAGGATATAGGGGAATGAGATTGTATTTATTTATTTATTTTTCTGGATCAAGGATCGTATTTAGTTTTTTTTAATTTAGTATTTAGTTCAAAGGTTGTTATTACTGGATATATAACATATCATTCAACCTTTCACCTTAGAATTCTGAGATTTGATGAACTGCTGTCCTGGTAGGGCAAGGCTATCTATATGTATATAGGTATATATGTCCAAATGCAAAATACATTTTTGCATTCTGTATTCGGTCATCTTCTTCCTATTGTATCACTTTAATTCTTACCCTGTGTTTGGTTGGAAGAAAAGTAGGATGGATGAAAAATAGTGGGTGGAAAATAGGGTGGATGAAAAGGCTTTTCACCGTTTGGTATCTAAGAAAAGAATGATGGAAAGGAAAATTGGAGAGATAACTTTTCTCTTCTGCCCACAATTTGCTTTCCCCTCAAAAATAGGAGGAAAATGAGAGGAAAGTAGGACAATTTGACTTTTTTAAGGATTATTTGACTTTTTTACTCTTTGCAATTAATTACTTGGAAATTAATGTAAGAGTAGAATTGTAAATTGAGCATGCATATTTTTTCTTTAATTTTATTTTTCATCTAATACCAAATGATGAAAAATATATCATTTTTACTTTTCATCTCAACTATAAAACAAAAAAGAGAAAAAATAATTTTTTTTTCCTTGAAGAATGAAAAGTTTATCCCTTCCACTTTTTCTTTCTTCCTTCCTACTTTCCATGGCACAGTAAAATTGATAAGAGAAATGCCACGTGGCATTTAATTCAATATATATTTTAAGTCCTTAAAGTGTCCAAAAAATGTCACTTTTGTCCTTCAATTACTTTAGACATCTTAATTTAAACAACTGTCATTAATTGGACAATTTAGGTGCAAAATTGAAAACTCTGAAGTCTAAAATAACACTACTTAGAATTATGTTAACTAAAGTGAGATGAAGGGCGTACTATATGAATTATAATTGTACGTATGTTGGCGTGCGATGTTGAAAAAAAAAATAAAAAATTTGATGTTGGTAACAGTAATAGAAAATAATTACGCCAATGTTCACCAAACTTAAAGATGAAGAAGCCAGCTTTTACAGGAAAAAGAAAAAAAGAGGGAAGCAATGGTTTACTGAAGGAGATGAGAATAAAACATTCTTGTTAATTTGTTAACCAAAGAAACACCAGGAGCAAAATTCTCTATTCACAAGGACGATAGCACCAGAATTAATGATTATACCTAGGTGAAACAAGAGTTGATGAATTCAATTACTATAGACATCTGCTGGTAATCCCGGACCGATAATTTCCCTAAGATCTCGTATTATTTTTGAATATTGATGGTGCTCGAAATCTATTTACCTAATTATAGAACCGTGATGTAGTGAGGTCCAGGAGGAACTTTGTGTGCGTTTGTGGGTGGGGGTGTGTTTAGTGTGTGAAAAATGGTGAATGCAGTAATACAAGTAGTTTACCTCAGCCGAAAGATTGAGGTTACATTCACTATAATGGAGGTTCTTACTCCTTGAAGACTATATTGGTTAAAGAAGAAAGTAGCGATTATAGAAGGCTTGGATAGAAGCCTTGTACAAAGAATTTCTTAGGTTGCCTATGGCGTTCTCTCTTTTTACAGTAACTTCGTCTCCTATTTATACCCCTTGGTACTAGGGTTTCGATAATTCATCATTTTCTGGCTGATTTGGTGGTCCCCTCTTCATTACATGATGTTTTCTGCATCCACTATCCTTAAAACGAAATATATTCAATACCTTCTCTACTAGGGAATATTTGTTCGTTAGAATTGTTAGGCATTGTCCCCCTGTCCCTTATCCATGTGGCATGATCGGGTTTATATCAAATCCGCTTGGTACCGAGCCTGTGTTCTTGAGCAAACGCTTATCATCGAGCTCATTGGGTGCCAACTTGGGCACTGGTCTGGGTTGGACAATCCTGGGCTTTTCATGGAGCAGGGCTGTGGTTTAGCCCAGATATGGAAGATGTCACTCAGAAGGGTAGTTTGATTTGTCTTTGATGAGCCCATCAGAGGCTTTGGGCTCAAGAGGGGGCCCAAACTTAAATCCATCATCATCAGTTGTCCCCCAGCTCCAAGTCAGGAGGATGACCTTTTAGTCTTGGCCTGGGGTTAGAAACGTCTTTTCTATCACAATGATTACACCTGCGGATAATAGTTTTCTCATGATTACCAACGCTGCTTTAGCAGCGTACTTAGTGTCCCTATATTTATTATGATGGGAGAGATGTGCTGGAAGGGAGGGCTCCTCCGATACGGCTTCTTTTGCACATCAATATATCTCATCCTCATGAGGTTCTCAACCAAGGAAGGAATTGGAGAAGTGCATGGAAATCAGGTTACAACATGTGAATGCTATGTATCCTCCATGAGGGGAAGGTAGTTTTGCAAGAAATTCTTCAAGTCAACTCTTTAGACCATGGAGAGAAACCAAAATGCCTATGGCCAGTAGAAGACTTGCAACCCATCTAGATTGGAGACTCCCATGAATAGGTCATTTTCATTGGGAGGATGCTCGAGGAAAGCATGAGCACTTCATTGATTGAGTTCCTTAACTCCAACAAGGACGTCTTTACCCTGAGGCAATCTGATATAAGCGGGATTGACCCTGATGTAATTGTGCATAAGCTCAACGTTAGTCCAAGCTTCAAACCAATCCGTCAGAAGCGAGGAAGCTTCACCCCAAAGTGACATCACATGATAAAGGAGGAAGTAGCCTAGCTCTTGGACGCCAAGTTTGTTAGGGAAGTATAGTATCCACTATGGTTATCCAATGTGGTACTGGTGCAAAATAAAAGCTTGCCCAAAAGATTACACTGCTGAAAATTGACATTTTGGTTGACGCCACAATAGGGTATGAGTTACTTTCCTTTATGGACGCATTCTTAGTGTATAACTAGATCATGATGCATGAACCAGATCAAGAAAAGACCTTTTTCATAACAGAGGAGGGGGCCTACTGTTATCAGATCATGCCATTTGGTCTGAAGAATGCAGGGGCCATCTACCAGAGATTGGTAAATTGCATGTTCAAGGACCTCATTGGCCACTCAATGGAAGTATATTCTGACAATATGCTCGTAAAAAGCCTCCAGGTCTTGGAACACATCGAGTACTTAAAAAAGACCTTTGACACCCTCATAAGGTACAATATGAAGCTGAATCTAGCTTAGTGTGCCTTTGGTGTGTCCTTAGGGAAATTCTTGGGCTTCATGGTGACCCAAAGAGGGATAGAGGAGAATCCAAAACAAAAATCAAGACACTCATGGATATGAGGCCTCCACGAAGCATTAAAGAGGTCCAGGTGCTAGCAGGAAGAGTAGCAGCCTTAAATAGATTTATCTCCAAAGCAAGTGACAAGTGACTTCCCTTCTTTAAGGACCTTAGGAAGGCCCTTGAATGGACTTCGTAGTGTGAAGATGCCTTTTAGGCATTTAAGGAATACATCATCAAGCCACGGTTCTAGTAAGGCCAGTGGAAGGAAAACCCCTATCCTTATACCTCACAGTGACTTGAGAGGCAACAAACGTGATTCTAGTAAGCTAGTGTGAAAAGACACAACATCCTATCTACTACATAAGCCGAATGCTAAGAGGAGCAGAAGTAAGGTACCCAACGATGGAGAAGGTAGCCTTTGCACTGGTAACTACATCCACAAAACTGAGACCCTATTTCTAAGTCCATCTCATTATATTACTCACTTATATCCCCTTATGCCAAGTTCTTCAGAAGTTGGAGATGTCTGGACGATTATCAAAATGGTCCATTGAGCTCGGGGAGTTCTACATCCAATGTGGCCCCCGAACAACTATAAAGGGGTAAGTAGTTGCTGACCTCCTTGTAGAGTGTACCCATGAGGCACCAGAACTTGATGATGTTGGCATCTAAGGAGAGTGGCAAATGTATGTAGATGGGTCCTCCAGTTCAATAGGAGGAGGAACTGGATTAATTCTTATCTCATCAATTGAAGAGAAGCTTGATTTATGCAGTACGCTTTGGATTCAAAGCCTCAAATAATGAGGAAGAATATGAGGCTCTCATCGAAAGACTCTAGCTGGCTAGAGCTTGAAGGTGTACAGTGACTCACAACTTATGGTAAGATATCTTTAGGGTGACTATGAAGCTAGAGAACCATGAATGAGTTCCTACTTGAAAATTGCAACTGAAAAGATAGCATTTTTCAAACACTTTGAGATTACCTAGGTCTCGCGGTCGCAAAGCTCACATGTAGATTCACTAGCTCGACTAGAATCCACACTCTTTGATAATTTAACTAGAACCATATCAATAGTTTCTGCTAGAGCCAAGCACGTGCAGTATCAGCGCCAACCCAGTTCAACAAGAGCTGAGTTGGAAGGATGAAATAATGGCGTATCTACAACACGAAATACTAACTC